GAAAAATATCCAGCACAACTTTAGCACTGAATTACCATCGGCCCTGCCTGTCAAGCGCGCTGACAGCGATGTCGTGTTGACATCAGTGTTTCAGCGCCCTGCTTCACGACGAGCGCGCTTTTGTGTGTCTGTCTGTCTATTAGAGCCGCGGAACGAGAGAAGCGACGGTGTCTCGCGCTCACGCACGCACGCACGCGAGCAGGCAGGCGGGCGCTGCCGAGCGCGAGTCCGCACCTTTTGTGCTGAGATCTGAAGTGAAACAGGGCACGCAGACAGTTGCGTGTCGAGCCGTGCACAGCGCTGAGGTGTCGGTTCCCCCACCGTTTGCACACAGCACGACCTCTGAGCAAGCTGTTTGGCGTGTTTGCCGCAGACACGCACAGTTTGGATGTTCTGGCGCACACTTGTACACGAGAAAAGAGCGGAAATCAGAAGGTGCGGGGCTGTTTTTTTTGTGTGTGTGTCCTGCGCTCTTTTCTTTCGCTTTTTCTCAAAGCACGATCATTTATTTATATGAACACGGGGTGTAACGCGGCGCGCTGCGCAGGACGTGTTGGAAATATTAAGTTACCTTTTTCGCGAGATGTCTGTCCTGCAGTGCGCTCTTCAGGAGTCGCGCGGACGGCTTGGCCGCCCCCATCCCCCTCGCGGGTAGAGTGATGTGGCCGAGGCGGGTCCTGCGCAGCCGACCCCTCTCGATCTCGCGCTCCAGCACCACTTTAACGCGGTTGCGGGTCAGCTTCTCGCCGGGCATGCCTTTCTGTGTGCAGAGGTAGTCGAGTATCTCTTTCAGCCCTGGCGGTGCGTGGCCCCGTGTTGCGGCGGAGCCCCGGTGTCTCTCGGACATACTTCGGACAGCATCCATTAATCTGTCGCCCAGATCGGTACTGTTCTCCTCCGGGGAATCGGAGCCGCGCACAGCGGAGCCCTTCACCCCCGGCTTGAGTTTGGAGGGCGCAGAGAGCCTGTTTTTCTGAGGCGAACTGACGCTCGAGCAAGTTTTCTGCTCCTTCTCCTCCTCCTCATCAGTGCCCTCGTGGCCCGCGCTCAACATCTCCTCTCCTGCACTTGAAGCATCGCGGGGGCCAGAGCCGCCTCCCCCCGCCGCGGACACTGATCTCCGCTCTTTCGATGCACTTGCTTTCTCGCTCCCGGCAGAGCAGCCCGTTGCGCCACAACTAACCAAACTGTTTCCGCTATGTAGTGGTAAAATCTTGTCTTCCTTTTCGAGAGTGGAGGGCGAGGATTGAAGCGGCGGGTCAGGACTGGGGCTCACCCGCGGCTCCTCGGGCTCCTTGTCTCCGCTCTCCTCCTCCTCCTGGTCCGTGAGGCTGAGCGCGCTGTCGCCGGTGTTTGTGAACGCGGCGTGTTTGGTTTGTTCTGCCACTGACTCGCCGCTGCCGCTGCTGCTGTCGGTGGTTTGCTCGGGTCTCTTTCTGCATTTTCTTTGCACTTTAGCTGCGTTCCTGTACGAAATGGACCCCTTGTAGCTAACTTTCAGCACAGTTTGCTCCTGGATCAGTTTTTCTAGTTCAGCCCTGGTCTGGTCCGGGTCTGACCCGTGTCTTCTTCGAACCATCCGGCAAATCCTCTCCAGGTCCGGTCTCGCTTTTCTCGAGCGCAGAGAGTCGATGGTCTCTAGGATCCACTCTTGGTATTTTGGTTCCGACATGATTGCGCACTGGTTCGGCCGAGCGCTTCTCTCTCTTGTCTCCGAAGTGATCCGCTCTGAGCCCGGCTGGGAATGAAGCGGAAGCCTCGCTCTACGCCTGCGTTTACCCACTATGTGCGCTTAAGGTGGACTACTTGCGAAGAGAACCATCCGCTACGCTCTGCGCCGATGAGCGGCGCTTATTTAAGGTGGTATGGCGGAGTTAGACGTTTTGCGCACATCCTCGACGGGCTTTTGTTTGCGCTCGCACTGCAGTTACACCTACAGCAACAGATTGTTCATTTGCAATCTCTACACTTTAATTTAAATCACATTCAATAGCGCATCTGTATTCAAAGGTTAGACGACAGATGGCTTCAACTAAACTGAGTGAATCTATTCATTTTATAACTCCTCGCGTCAGTGCCAGCTGCTAACATCAACTGAAACAAACATATGAAAATAACACCTCTGCATTTTATAATGCACACATAATCTACAGGTTTTAGCTAAATAGATGAATAAATAAGTTAAAAAGGAGCCTAAATCACCAACTGTTGAATGTATATAGACTAGGCTACATTATAAACTGATGTAAAATAGTGCTGCAATTAGTGCACTAAAGGCCCAGATGTAAAGCTTACCTTCAGAAACCATTGCATCCACCTGCAAATTGATAAAAGCTCATCTAAGTCCACACATTTAAATGTCTGGAATATTTGAAACAAAGAAATACAGATTTTATTATGTAGAAAAACACAAACTCTTAAACATGCAGGGTTATTTCCACCTAAATATGGGTGTGAATGTACAAAACAAGCCACTCCCTTCATTGTGTAGTTCAATTCAAATCCCAAATTCAACCCAAGTTTGGAGTTTGTCCATATTCTCCCTCATTTAGATGAAAATAATCCAGCATTTTTGGTTTGAGTGTAGTATTGCTTTCCACAATGCACTTTAAACATATTGGTGCGTGTGTAGCGGTATGAACATTTGAGAGCTTTTTCAGTTCATTTCTCTGCACAGTTGTGCAATGATAAAGAAAAAACATTTCAAGACTTTGTACACTTATAATGCAAGCGTATAAACAGCTCAGTAAATTCACAAGCGTTTCATTATGAATATAATTACCGATCACGTCTAAATATACTGTTGTTTGAGTAATAAAGGGATCGTTCACCCCAAAATGAAAATCAAGTCATCATTCACTTTCAGTCCTTTTCTATTAAACTCAAAAGAAGATATTTTGAAGAATGTTCAGTGCTGACTCAGGGTATATGCACTCTAAAGGTAATTTCAATACCTTTTAAGACTTTTTTAAGACATTCTCAGAATATTTTAAGACCTCATCGCCACTATAAGTTCTAATCAGTATCAAACCTTTAACTTATCAATTAGCTGTTAATAAACAGTTGTAGTTAAATAAATCAATGGAACACAACCATGCAACAGAGCTCAGATAAGCTCGGCAGAAACAAAGCTCGAAATAATAAATTACACAGTTGTTTTCAGCAGGCTTTAGCCACAAATTACGTCACATCTCCCGGATGGAGGAACATGACCGTATGCGTCCCAGCCTGAACCAATGGATGGAGAACACTAGTGATTTATTAGAAGGAAAATGAATATGTTTCTGCTTTATTGAAGTCAAACACTTAATACAACGCTTAAACAAAATGGAAGACCTCAAAAAAATGGGATTAAGACTTTTTAATACCTTTTAAGGGCCTTATTTTTAATTATAAGGGATTTATAAACTTTTAATACTTTTATAATAGTTGGAAAAAAATACTATGGTTATTCTTTTAAACATGTTTTTTTTGTGTGTTCAACAGAGAAAAATAAATTTAAATAGTTTTAACAGGTAAAGAGTAAATGATGGCAGAATTTTCATTTTTTTGTGTGATCCATCTCTTTAATTGTGTAATAGTCACTTACTTTATCCTTCAGAACTAATGAAAGTAGCAAAAAATTGGCAAAAAACACAGAGGATTGACCATGATGCAGTTTGAAGTCATTTAGAGCGGAGCTATCAGTCATTTGGGTGGAGCTATCAGTCATTTGGGTGGAGCTATCAGTAATTTGGGTGGAGCTAACAGTAATTTGGGGTGGAGCTATGAGTTATCAGTCATTTAGTAAAGAGCTATCAGTCATTTGGGTGGAGCTATCAGTCATTTGGGTGAAGCTATCAGTTATTTAGGGCGGAGCTATCAGTCATTAAGGGCAGAGCTATCAGTCATTTAGGGTGGAGCTATCAGTCATTAAGGGCAGAGCTATCAGTCAATTAGGGCGGAGCTATCAGTCATTAAGGGTGGAGCTATCAGTAATTTAGTGTAGAGCTATCAGCTATCAGTCATTTAGGGTGGAGCTTTCAGTCATTTAGTGCATAGCTATCAGTCATTTAGGGTGGATCTATCAGTCATTTAGGGTGGAGCTATCAGTCATTTAGAGCAGAGCTATCAGTCATTTGGGTGGAGCTATTAGTCATTTAGAGCAGAGCTATCAGTCATTTGGGTGGAGCTATCAGTCATTTGGGGTGGAGCTATCAGTTATCAGTCATTTAGTGAAGAGCTATCAGTCATTTGGGTGGAGCTATTAGTCATTTGGGGTGGAGCTATTAGTAATTTGGGGTGGAGCTATCAGTCATTTGGGTGGCGCGATCAGTCATTTGGGGTGGAGCTATTAGTCATTTGGGGTGGAGCTATCAGTCATTTGGGTGGCGCTATCAGTCATTTGGGGTGGAGCTATTAGTCATTTGGGGTGGAGCTATTAATCATTTGGGGTGGAGCTATTAGTCATTTGGGGTGGAGCTGTCAGTCATTTGGGGTGGAGCTATCAGTCGTTTGGGTGGAGCTATCAGTTATTTGGGTGGAGCTATCAGTCATTAGGGGTGGAGCTATCAGTAATTTGGGTGGAGCTATCAGTTATTTGGGTGGAGCTATCAGTCATTTGGGGTGGAGCTGTCAGTCATTTGGGGTGGAACTATTAGTCATTTGGGTGGAGCTAATAGTCATTTGGGGTGGAGCTCTCAGTTATCAGTCATTTAGTAAAGAGCTATCAGTCATTTGGGTGGAGCTATCAGTCATTAGGGGTGGAGCTCTCAGTAATTTGGGGTGGAGCTCTCAGTTATCAGTCATTTAGTGCAGAGCTATCAGTCATTTGGGGTGGAGTTATCAGTCATTTGGGTGGAGCTATCAGTCATTTGGGTGGAGCTATCAGTCATTTGGGTGGAGCTATCAGTCATTTGGGTGGAGCTATCAGTCATTTGGGTGGAGTTATCAGTCATTTGGGTGGAGCTATCAGTCATTTGGGTGGAGTTATCAGTCATTTGGGGTGGAGCTCTCAGCTATCAGTCATTTGGGTGGAGCTATCAGTCATTTAGGGTGGAGCTATCAGTCAAGAGCTATCAGACTTTTAGGGCCACTTTATCCTTCAGTACTAAAGAAAATAGCAGGAAAATCGCCATAAACACAGAGGATTGACCGTGATGCATTCTGAGGCACATAAATAGACGTAAATCCTGTTTGGTATTTATAGTAATACTTTATTGGAATGATTCTTGTGGTGCAAAATATCACAATTAACTTGAACCATGTCCTCAGGAGTAAGCACTGGTATCCACTGAGTTCGCCTCCAGCTCAGGAGGTATTTGTAGCCTAGAGAGTTGCGTGTAAGAAATTCTCACCCAAAAAGGAGCCAGATGCACTGCACCCATTCAGAGAGAAGACTTTGCCTATTTAAAAATGCAGAAATGGAAGAATAAAGGGGGAAGAAATGGCGAAAACGGAGAGAGAGCCATGCGGAGAGCGTCGCCCCCGCAAGGCCTCGCCGCCTCAATCGCGCACAAAGTGTGTGCGATCTCGTCGTGTGTCGCTATAAATGTGGAACCCAATGACAACCGTAACAATTATAGTATTAACAATACTAAACGAACCAAACGGAAACATTCATCCCCTCCTCTGCACGAAGGCTTGACGCAGTAAAAGGCTGCCAGTCCGACTCGTCGCAGCCTATATTCAACGACACAACCGATGAGTCAAAATATTGACACTCGAAGGATTTCATGGCACATTTCGTAAGTTCAAAGTTCGTCAGTGAATATTTTACAGAGCGCTGTGGACCTACTGCTGAAATTAAAAACAAAGAGGTGCTCTTATTATGAAATCATGGCTTCATTTCTATGCCATTTTCCACTTTGTCGTCCCTTCAGTGCATTTTTTAGAATAAAGAAACACATGACAGTTTACAGGACCAAAAAATATTTCGGTTATTACACAGGAATACATGTTTTTTTGTCATCGTTTTTTCTTATATTTTTCAGCATGGTTGTTTATGGTGACCTTAACTGCGGTGACTGCTCAAGATCAGCGGTATCTCTGAACAGACATGAACTAATCTGTCTTTGTGCGGCAACAACAATCCCAGTCCACAGGCCAACAATTACACCCTATCAAATCCATCATGATTAATATCACATGAACAGAGATTTAAAAACCAAAAGAAATAATCATAATAAAAAATAAAAGAGAGAAAATTACAAACGTGATTAAAATAGAGGAGATGATAAAGGCCTCACTGTTTATCCCTGGAGGTCTTCTCTGCACTCTTCCGCTGGTTTCTCTGCTGTTTAACAGGAGGAAGGATCGGTTTTAAGATTCATGCACTTTTTCTCTCTCTCTTTCTCTCTCTGATTTCTATCATTTCTTCCTCTAGAACTCGGCGAATTCTTTCGCACACTTCTCGGTGAACGACACGCGGATCTCTTCCTCCTCATAGTCATCAAAGTTGCTGGTGTCCCCGGGACCTCTGCATTTAGGCACAAACGGGGCCTCCACCTGCGAACAGAGAAATTTGATTGAAAATTTAATTTAAAACAAAGTTTTAATGCATTACAAACGGCGATGGTGCATCGCACTTCAGGAGGAGATGTGAATTAATTTAGCTAAACTGTGACATGGTCATCTTCCGGATATATTATCAATGATCCATCAGGTAATGTTTTCTTCTCTCTCTCTCTCTCTGTCTAAAATTATTGGTCAAGCGCTGTCAATAAATATTTGTCCTCCATATCCCATAATGCACAGCACATCAGCCTACGGCAGCTGGATTGGTCCAAAAAGGCGCAGTTGTTTTTGCAGTTGGGTCTGTTTTAGTTCGGATCATGTTCTCACCATTATTATGGATATATTATGGATGGATGGATGGATGGACAGATGGATGTATAGATTATGGATGGATGGATGGACAGATGATGTATATATTATGGATGGATGGATGGATGGACGGATGAACAGATGGATGGACAGACAGACAGACAGACAGACAGTGTTCAGCATAAATGAGTTCACCCTTCACAGATCTCTCTGTTAAATTAAATTTTCTATGGTATGCTTTATAATAATATAAAAGTTTCATTAGTAAGAATCAAAGTCAAAACTGGAAATAATTTAACAAAATATCTTAATATAATGTTGCAAAAATCAGTACAACCCATTGCTTATGTCAGGAAAAATATTAAATTAAATTTTACACATGAATCAACTACTTTGTAATCTTATGTTTCTAATAAATTAATATAATTTTCATGTATTGCCTTTCCATGCCTAAAGATGTTCAGTGACCAAACTGTTGTGCTGAAATGCACCAAAATATTGACAAAATTTACTGTAAAATGGATAAAAATATCTTGTTTTTTAAAAGGGTGTACTCATTTATACACTGTGTGTGTGTGTGTGTGTGTGTGTGTATAAATACAAATAGTAATAACATCATTATATGCTATTTATAAATAAATAATAATAATAATATACTAATAACTAACTTAGACTTCACACTAATCCATATACTGCTGCTCTCTGCTGATCTGAAATGCTCATGTGTGGAGTCTGCACTGCAAGAATGTTCTTTAGCTTAGAGTTTTTGTCTTATTTATAGTCCAAATATCTAAAAACGATTAAATCAGAAAGCGTTTTCTAGACAAGCAAAACATTTGGTCCTGTTTTAAGAAATAATACGCCAAAATTAAGTGAGTTTTCCCTTAAAACAAGCAAAATAATCTGCCAATCGGCTAAGCAAAATCCCCTTGTTTTTCCTTTTGGTGTATTAATATTTTTCTAACCACATTTGCAGATTATTTAGCTTGTTTTAAGGGAAAACTCACTCAATTTTTAACACATTGTATCTTAAAACAAGACAAAATGTTTTGTTTGTCTAGAAAATGCTTCTTGATTGAAGAAATGTTCAGATATTTGAGATATAAAAGAACAAACGAACCACTCAAGGGTTCATTCGAAAGCGTTTTTTTGATCCGCTTTTGTTGAGCACTCGAGTACAATTGCTACATTCATACCTGCCCAAATGAACCGCACCAAGAGGGAAAACGAACTCCAGTGCGATTCAACCGAACTAAATAAGGCAGGTGTGAAAGCACCCTAAAATTATAACTGTAAGCTAATAATGTGGCATTGTCGTACTTTGAAACAAGTTGTTCTATTTTGAAACCTTCAATAAAAGTTAATATATTTATTTTATGTAAGTTTTTAGCTCCTATATTCTCAACATCATTCCACATAAGCCAATTGTATACCAAATTCTGTACAGAAATAGCAAAAAAGGCAGCAGATTCTGTCTGGCCCTAGATATTAGTAATACAGGATGAAATGTGAGCTAAAAGTCCTACTGTTAAACACACTGAATGCAGCAGAATGCAGTTTAGAGTCAGTAGCTATGTTCCCATCCAAAAATGTGAATTTAATTTATGCGCAAAACTGGATTATCGCATAAAAGACGTGTGAATAAAGCAGCGTTTCTATCCAAAAGAGTTAAAGAGAACAAAATCGTCACTTCCTGATTAACTGGCGCCAAATGTCAACAGTGAAGGCAGAATTTCTGCATCAATCTTTTACTTATTTAATAAAAGACTTTCACCTCAGAAGGCAATGCCGACACACAGTGAACACTTGGTGGCGTTTGAAGGCTTGAGACGCAGAGCACAGACGCTCTTCACAATTCTGGAACTTATTAATAATATAATAACACTAATACTGAAACTGTAAGGCGTTTTAGAATGACCAAAACAACAGTTCAGATGTTATACAGTGTGCTCAGCCTGCTGGTTTATCCATTCACGCACACTTTCATCATCACATGATCTCTTGTAACAAAATCACATGACCGTTTTTTTAATGCACATACTGGAATTTGTTCAGTAAACCTGTTTCCATAGTAGTTTATGCGCATCTTTTCTAATTGAACAAAAAGTTTATCCTACTCTAGTTATCCACATATGCTTTGTATGCATATTTTCAGAACTTATGCGCATCTTAGTGTTTCCCTCAACCAGTTTTTTATGCGCATATTCAAAATGTGAATAAAAAAAGATGGATGGAAACATAGCTAGTGATGAAAGACCGATTCTCACCCTCCGCTGGTAAATGGCGATCCAGTCAGTGGTAGAGAACCACTTGTGTCCTTTAATATCGTTGACTCCGTTCTTGAGGTTTCCGTAGCGCTTGGTGAGATCCACCTGCAGCAGGTTCCTCAACAGGTCCTTCAGGTCCGAGCTGAAGTGCGACGGGAATCGTACCTGAAAAAAAAAAAAAGATGACTCAAAACCAGAGGGCGGAGCCATCAGTCATTTAGGGTGGGGCTTTCAGTAATTTAGGGCGGAGCCATCACTCATTTAGGGCGGAGCTATTAGTCATTAAGGGCGGAGCTATTCGTCATTTAAGGCAGAGCTATCAGTCATTTAGGGCAGAGCTATCAGTCATTTAGGGCGGAGCTATCAGTCATTTAGGGTGGAGCTATCAGTCATTTAGGGTGGAGCTATCAGTCATTTAGAATGGAGCTATCAGTCATTTAGGGTGGAGCTATCAGCTATCAGTCATATAGGGCGGAGCTATCAGTCATTTAGGGTGGAGCTATCAGTCATTTAGGGCGGAGCTATCAGTTATTTAGGGTGGAGCTATCAGTCATTTAGGGTGGAGCTATCAGTCATTTACAATGGAGCTATCAGCTATCAGTTATTTAGGGTGGAGCTATCAGTCATTTACAATGGAGCTATCAGTCATGTAGAATGGAGCTATCAGCTATCAGTTATTTAGGGTGGAGCTATCAGTCATTTAGGGCGGAGCTATCAGTCATTTGGGGCGGAGCTATCAGTCATTTATGGCTGAGCTATCAGTCATTTAGGCTGGAGCTATCAGCTATCAGTCATTTAGGGCGGAGCTATCAGTCATTTAGGCTGGAGCTATCAGCTATCAGTCATTTAGGGCGGAGCTATCAGTCATTTAGGGCGGAGCTATCAGTCATTTGGGGCGAAGCTATCAGTCATTTAGGGCAGAGCTATCA